GCTTCCGTCGTCACCACCTGATGTTTCTAACTAGTTGTTCTAGAATTTTTGAGAATTTAAACAACAAACCCCGCAAAACCCACCATCAAGACTGTAAGCGATCGCCTCCATTGGACTGACAGCCGTCGAGTCCGGGGACGCGCCGCCCTGACCCGGCTGGTGGGCCCGGGTGGTGGCGGGGGTGGGAGTCGCCGAGGCGACCCCATATCCTTCGGCCAAAGTGTCCCCAGGATGGGAAGAAATATGGTACAAGAAAGAAGGGCCCATAAATCTGGCTTTTTTAAAAAATCCGCTCAACTTAGAATGATAAGCCAGAAATTGTATGTATTCTTTTTCTTCCTGAAACGTTGCTGGAGCTCCCAGAAGCTTTATGAAATGACAACAGTTTGCGGGGATAAAGGCGGATCGTGACCCGGGTCCTCGCCTGGGTCTTGCAACTCCTCCGGAAGCGGCGCACGACTGGGTGCCCAAACACCCTTTCCCGTTTGGCCGCCGAGCCCCCGCCCCCTGCCCTATTGGCGGCCGGGTTCTGGCTGGATTCGAATCGCAAAGAGCGGTGTGGCGCGCGCGGCCCAAATAAATCAGCTCTGGGGACAGGCGGCTCCCGAAAGCCAGCCCCTCTCCGAGGGTGAAGGCCGTTCGGAGAAAGAGGCTCGCTCCAGAGGGGCCACTCCTTGCATCCGAAGAGTCCTGAGAGAAACGATTTCGTTTCAGATCAGCAAATGCCCAAAGAAGAGAGCGGCGGAGGGAAAAGAAAAGGAAAAAAAAGAAAGGAAACACGAAGAAAACGGCAACTTCAAGGAGCCCGTCTACCTGGAGCACTCTGAGGGCCTTCGCCAGCTCCTGGGGTGCATTTCTCCCTCCTCACCCCTTATCCCCCCGCGCCTTCTCAGACCAGCTGGGACGCTCAGAGGAAGCTCAGAGCGCCGGGCCTGGGGCCCGTGGGGGTGGCTTTAAAAATATGCGGCTCCCCGGGGGTGTTGTCCCCAGGGCCAAAGCCGATGCGTTGGGAAAACTGCGAACTGAAAGAGTCAGGCAACCTGGCTTTCTGTCTGGATAAACTCCACGGGTCAGTTTTGTTTTATTTTTAAATTAACTGACAAGTAAAACATTTCATTACCCATTCTCTCCTTTGGTTGGAAAACCAGTCTAAATAAAACGAAAAAACAATTCGTGAACCTGCAGAAGAGCAGTGACCTCCCTGCCTTCACCTTTGTTTTAGGCAATGTTAAAAAGTAATTGAGAATCTCGAGGGTCCCTTCGTGCCTTAGAATGAGCACATTGTGATCTGCGTCCCGCCGCTCACCTCTGCCTCAGCGGTGCCGGGGCCAGCGCACCCTCTCCCCGCTGTTGCAGAGCGGCGGGAAAAGCAGGTCCCTGAGGGTCAGCTATTGTCCAAGGAAATTCACACGGACACCCCCGTACTTGAAATAGAAATACACACAGCAGGAGTCAGGTTCGCGCTCGGATCTCCTTAGGGGGCTCAGATCTCCTTGGGGCTTAGGCTTTGGAGGCCGTTCACAGCCTGGACTCTTAGTTGAAGGATTTATTTGTTAACTTGTCTTCATTAGAAATCACCTAACCGAGATAAGAATTTTAAAAATGAAAACTTTGCTTTTGAGAGCAAACCCCCAAAATATTTAAGAACAGTTGGACTCAGAGAAAATCAAACCTTTCTGTAACTGCTTACAAATGAGCTTCTGCAGAACCCAGTCTACGTAAAAATTTGGTCGGAACGCAGGTAAAAACCAAAAGAAAGGCATTGGAAGCCCTGGTCAGAGTTAAGTAAGTGGATGGCGAACGCAGGGTTATCTCTTCTGGTAGACCTATCCGATCGAACTCGGGTTAAATTTTAAAGCTCCTGGATCCTGCTCCAGTAGGCAGCCTCCGTTCCAGAGTTTTCTACCTTCAGTCTTTCGGAATTGCGGCCGCGCTGAAACTGGGAGCCGCCTTAGTGATTGGGGGAGGCAGAAAGGAATGTAATAAAAGTGACTAAATTGGATGAGAACGGTTTATGGACCTTCTCGGTAGCAATTTAAAATTCAGAAGTGTTTAGCAGCAATTTACAACGAAGAATGAAAAAAAAAAAGAAGAATCGTTGACTTCCTCGATTTCCCGCCCTCCTCCCCCGCGCTGCCAGGCCCTGTCCCCTTGTCCCCCCAGGATACGCAGGTTCACAGCTCAGTTATATCGAGAGGAAGCACATTTAGCCACGAGGTCTCACAATCTCTCGAAACCCTATTTTACTGTGCTCCTACCTACCCCAGTTCAACTCTGCTCAGGCTCCTCTCCCTTCCCCAGCTGGACGGACACACACACACACACACACACACAGACCCCAAACGCTTTCAGGGAGACTGACCTTTAGAAAATCATTTACTTCGATTTACCTGGGGAAAAAAGTGTAAAAATCCATTCCCACAAAACAACTCCTCCTGCCCTAGTTAAAATTCTCTCCCGACAGGCTTCTGGGGTCACAGCTGTCGGAAGAAATCCTTTTTGTGGGCGAAAGGGAGCGAGACATATATCACGGCTCCTGCCGCGGACAAACCTGCGGCCGCGCGACTCCCTGCTGACAGATCGGCGCTGATAACCCCGCGACGTTCATTTCCAGTCCCTTTGCTGGCTAAGGACCGTATCAGTTTGTACACACTTGTGATAACCATTTGGAGGGAGCGAAGAAGGGGTGTGTATGCGAGGGTGGGGGTTGGGAAGCGGTATTTCAAGCTGGGACCAGGGAAGGTGACCCCCTCCTCTTTCCAACGACTTATCTGAGACTTACCTGAAGTTCTCCAGGGAAAGCTCAAAGTAAACGGGACGCCAAAACTCGGAGAGCACCTCCGGGCGCGACTGGTGTGGAAGCACTTTTCCATTCTGCTCACCTCAGGGACTGACCTTTACGTACACAATGGCCCCGAATTAAAAGTTCCCGAAGGTTAGCTGAGGAGTGCCGACGTGAAACTTCCCAGGAATTTAGTACATTTCTAAAAAGGCAGGGCAGAGTCAGGGAGCTAGGCACTCGAGTTCCTTTTTTACTAGATCACAGGAGACTAGACCCCCGACGGCCACCACGACCTGAGCCCTAGGGTCTCAAGAAGAGGTCTGGAAAGTTTAAAGTCGATCACACAACTGCGGAGCAGAAAGCTCATTTAATGTGGAAGGAGGAGCGGGGAAGGCCACTTTCCCCTCTCATTCTGGGGGCGCGTTGACCCAGGAACTGGCGCGTCTCTCTAGCAGCGGTGGCCGCGTGGGGCTGTGCAGTCATCGCCCTCCCCCCAAACCCCGCTCCCGTGAGTGCGCGTGTAACCGGGGGCGGGGGAATGGGTGTGGGTCGCTAGCCAGGTCTGGCGTTCTGCCACCTCAGCCCCTCCCCCGGCGTCCCGGCGATCGGCGCCCCCTGGATGGACTCGCCCCCACTCCCAGGGCTGTGCTCGCAGCTCAGCCCACAACCGCAGGCTGCGCGGGGCTCATTGTCTGCCCGGGCGGCGTGCTCCCCTCCCCCCGCCGCCCGCCGTCCCCTCCCCACCCTCTTTTCTCTCCTCCCCTGGCTCCCTCCTCCTCCTCCTCCTCCTCCTCTTCACCTCCAGCGCCCAGCTGCTCACAGAGCGCAGTTCCGACCCACAGCCTGGCACCCTTCGGCGAGCGCTGTTTGTTTAGGGCTCGGTGAGTCCAATCAGGAGCGCAGGCTGCAGTTTTCCGGCAGAGCAGTAAGAGGCGCCTCCTCTCTCCTTTTTATTCACCAGCAGCACCGCGCAGACCCTTGACTCGCGCTTGCCTACCGGCGCCCTCGGCCTCTCTCCGCGCTCGGGAGCACCCTCTGCCACCGCCGTTCTCCATGCGCAGCGCCCACCCGAGGTTCGACTGCTTCCTCTCTTGCTCGAGCTTCCCTCTTTCCTCCTCTGTCCCCCCACCCTTCGCAGGCCCCTCAGCCTCGGCTCTCTGGCCCTCTGCGGACCGCGGGCGGCTCCGAGGGTGTCTGCCTTCTCCGCTCCCGGCAGGCTGTAGCGACTCCCAGGTTCCTGGGACACCGCAGACCAACTTCTGCTGTCTTTTCCTCTCCACGAAGCGCTTATCTGTGCGCAGCCTTATCTCCAAGTTATCTCGGCGCAAAGGGGCGGGAGCCGGCAGTCAGGCGGGCAGAGACTTCTTTCTTGCTATCTAGCCCGGGTCTGTGTGTGGGTATTAATTTTAGTATGGTTATCTCCGATGAGCCTAAGTGATCTGGAGAAGCAGCCCTGAGGAGGCCAGCTCGGCTGCATTTCGCCTCCCTCCTCCACCCCCTCCTAGGCTCCCTGTCATTCTTCCTGCTCTCCCCTTTGGGGTGGCCTTGGCTCCAGGGAGGTCTCACGTCCCCCCTTGCATTTACCCCTCCTTTTCTCTGCGCTCTGCTCCACCCCGCTACGTCCGATTCCGGAATGGTCTGGCCTTTCTGCGGCTGGGGATGACTGCGGGATGGGCCGGGGTGGCCCGGCCGGCGTGAGCGCACGCGCTGGTGGCTGCAAAGGCGAGCCGTATCTAAGGTGTGCGGCGCGGCGGGGACGCGGGTTGGGCATGAGACTCCAGCTCTGCAAGCACCCTGGACTGCCCGTGCCCCTAAGCTCTGAGACTGAAGTCTCTGCCCTGGCGCCCCACCTTCCTTGGGCTGGGTTACATTTCTCTATCGGCGTTCTGTCTCGTCAGCGCAGTCCGGGAAGCTCTGGGAAAGCCAGTATGGGAGAAAGCGGCGGTTTCGTTTTCGGGGACAGGTTGCCTTCCCTGGGCGAATGATTTCCACGCAGTCAACCCTCACACTGTGGCATTCCCGGCGAAGGACTCCCGTATTGAGGCGGGATAAGGCAGCGCCAACACACAGTGCTACTTTAAAAGTTCCTTTGTGCGCCATCGGCCGGGAGGGAGCCACTTTGGGGCGGAAGGAAAACCTCGGCCAGCCTCGCAGTCACCTCTGGGATCTGGCTTGCGCGTGAATGAAGGATGCTGCGGAGGAGGTGGGAGGGGAAGGCGAGGGGACCCGAGCGATGCAGGTGAGGGAGAGCGAGTAGCCCGGTCCTGGGAGGACCCTGTGGCTGCTGCGCAGGCTCCATGCCCCTCTCCTACCCCACCCCTCGAGCAAGGGGCAGGAACGAGATTTTGAGGAATCTCATTAGCTAGGGAGCGTAGTAGAAGTGAGACGTTGTACCTACGCTTTTGATAACTTTTTTATTTCTCCTCTCGACCCTGTCTCCTTCCCCACCCGGTCTCAGGAGCTAGAAGTCAGCTTGGAGCGGCTCCAAACCGTGGATGGCCTTGACTGACGGCGGCTGGTGCCTGCCGAAGCGCTTCGGGGCCGCGGCTGTGGACGCCAGCGACTCCGGAGCCTTTCCAGCTCGGGATCCCTCCACGCCGCCTTCTCCCATCTCCTCCTCTTCTTCCTGCTGCTCTCGGGGTGGGGAACGCGGCCCCGGCGGCGCCAACAATTGCAGGACGCCTCAGCTCGACACGGAGGCGGCGGCGGGACCCACGGCCCGCTCGCTGCTACTCAGTCCCTACGCCTCGCATCCCTTTGGGGCTCCCCACGGACCTTCGGCGCCCGGGGTCTCTGGCCCCGGGGGCGCCCTGTCGAGCTGGGAGGACCTATTGCTGTTCACTGACCTCGACCAGGCCGCGACCGCCAGCAAGCTGCTGTGGTCCAGCCGCGGCGCCAAGCTGAGCCCTTTCGCACCCGAGCAGCCCGAG